TTTGTTTTCCCTGCTGGAAATATATATTTTATATAGTAATAAATTTTGTCTTAAAAGAAAAATTATTTATGAAAAAGGAAAAAGGTGGTTGGTTAGTTAAGAATATAGTAGTTTCTATCTACCCATCCAGCAGTGATGTTCTGGATAAGTGCTGGAAGGTTCTGTCAGACTCAGCTGCCAACAAAACCAAACCCCTTTATCCTTCCCCCACACACGTGTTTTAATACTTCCAATTCTTCTCCCCTCTATTTTTTTTTTTTTTTTTTTTTTTTTTTACTGCTTAGTCTTTTACCTTCCTTCGCGTTAAATACATTTTTTTACCCTTCTCTCGTGCCAAAATTTCAAAGATCCCAAGCAAGCTCCGAATTTCGTAGAGTTGAAAAGTCTCAAAATTTCTACGGACGTTTCTTTTATTGTTGAATTTACATCTTCCGCTCCTACTCAATTTATTGATAAAATAAATGTATACTTACGTTCTCCAAAACCCACATTGCTACTTTTCAAATATTTTATACATTTATTTATATATATATATAAATATGTGTATGAAACATTTAATAATAACTAAAATAAATTTTTGCAATCAATAATTTATTTATATCAAGAACTTAAAGTTATCTTTAATATTAATGTTTTCTTATATGAAAACATATACTTATTTATAATAAATATTGATACATTGCATATAATGATATTTGATTCTAAATTTTTATTAATAACTTAAAATAATTATTACAATAAATAAAACTTTTAATTATTTATATAACTATAAAATTTATATTTATTATCGTTTAGATTATAATTAATTTTTTTATTATAATAATAATAAAAGATTTTTTGAAAAGTTAACCATAAAAAGTGGAGATTTTTTTTATAAAAAAAATGAATTGTGAGAATATATTTCAAAAACCTTTAATTTATTTAAAAGAAATAAGGAAATATACCCCTCAAAGTAAAGATTAAATAAATAAAAGTTAGGGAATTGGAGTTCACGTTTTTTAAAAGTTTTTTACTCTATTTGCAAGAAGATACTCGTCCGCTTATTAATAATAATTTATTACTTTTTATTATAAAATAATTAATATATTATTCATTAAAAAAATTACAATTTGCACGTCAGAAAACAGGTTTATTATTATTTTTTTTGTTTAATATGATATGATATGGGCGGTGAGTTGTGGGCGCATGTGCCGCGCCACTATTTAAATGTTCATTTATTTTTCTTTTTACTTACATTAAAAAATTAAATAAATAAAGTCTTGGTTACGCGGCGCATCCAAAATTGGCCGTAGTTGGTGAACCCTTTTACTTTTTCTTTATTTGCTTTTTTATCGTCATAATAAATTATTTAGAATTTTACGAAATTGCTTTTACACGTGCTCAATTTATAGGGAATTTTCACGTGATAAAATAATTTTTTAACATAAATAGAAAATAATTATTAACGTTAAAAGAAATTATTTAATTTTTTAAAAAAAAGAAGTGTAAAAAGTTCTTTGGTCATATTAATTATTAGAAAAAAAATACGCAGATATCCATCCCTTTCAATTAAGAATGGGACACGGGGAAGGCCTTAAATGAGCTCAACAGCAAGGAGGGTGTGATTAAAGATGGGATATATGGTTCCGATCCCAATCGCCTTCTAATTTATAAAATCACTTAATAAGGAGACTCAAAATATCTTATGATATGTATATATACATATAGACGTGGTAAATCTTTGAACACTTCCATTCAGTCAAAAAGAGTACACTGTACGTAGCGCATTCAATATTGGATTTTATATAAAAGATAAAAAGTAAAGATATTTTAAATACTTGGTGGGTTCAGAAGATTATCTCGTTTTGGATTTAAAGCTTGGGTTAGCCCATTTGATTACTTTAGCCCATTAGTGATCTCTGGTGGGCTGGTCTACCGAAGGCCCGGAAGTGACCCCCCCTTCCAATCAAGGGATAAAATCCTCTTGTTTTAATTCTTTAGCAGACATGCTTAAATCTCACTCAATATTCATTTTTGAGCTGTTTTTTTCATTCTAAATTTTGTTTAGATGATAATTTATTTTTTAATTCTCGTGTAGAAATAGTCTTATTCTGGTTTTGGACTAAAAAATAAGCCACATCAAATAATATTTGGCCCGATCCTTGTCCCATACAATAGGGGACTAAGAAAACTATTTAGATCATAGAAGAGTAGAATGAATCAAAATTTTAAAAACAATATACATATAAATTATCCTTGATCTTTAATCTACTTGGATTCAATCTGATTTTAAATTGATAAATGTTGCTAGCCTTTGTGATTGGAGTTGCGACAATGGCTGGTGGGGCTAATTGAGATAGCTACGGCTATTTAATTCAAGTATCCCACCATAGTATTTGTATTCTCAGTGGTGCTTCCATTATAACCTCATCCAAATACTCTTGCCGTTCAAGTAAAGATGATGTTTTTGAGTGCTTGCCACTGCACCGACTCAACTTTATTTCTTCTCTCTTTCCATTTCCTACATCTTCCACAAGTGACTTCTTTCACATTTTGATCATCATCATCATCATCATCATTTCTTTGTCACCTTAATTAATAACAAGTAACTATTCCAAAGTTAATTTCTTACCGAGAAACCTGAAATAATTGTAGGGATGACATATATACACACACATATATATTGTTTTAAAGGTAGTTAGCTAGGAGAGAGGCTTTTCGATCGGCGCAGAGTTTCATCGGCGCAGAGTTTCGTGTGTGAATGGGATTGAGTAAATGATTATAGGGTCGGTTTAATGTAGTTGACACTAATTGGAGGAGATTCTTGGGTTTTAGGTAAGGCTCGCATTTATTACTACACGAGTTCTGTTGGCTGACTTTAGGTGATTGTGAACGTAAGCTTTAAGCAAAAGATAGTCTCCAAGTTCAAACAATTTCTCGTGGGAACGCATTTCCGATCTTGCTCATTCCCATTCCTTTTCTTTATTTGTTGTTTCCATATATATATATATATATATATATTGTATATATGGATAATGCTCAACTAATTTCTTTACTGTTGGTTCTTCTCCAATTGGGTCTGCATGCATAATGCTCAACTAATTACATGTGCTATATATAGCTTATAGAACTTTTAAAGTTGAAGTATTAAAACCATTAAATTAACCAAAGATTGCAGAAGACCTAATTATGTGAAAGATTGGGCAGGCAAGCGTCAGGAGGGTTTCAAGTTTTCAACAAAGTACTTGCAGAAAATGGGATCCACCTATATTTACCACTGACAACACCACACCTAAGTTTTAGTATGGAAGAATTATGAATTTATGTGAGGGATTCATCAAGACCCAAACTGAACCCTCCCTCCTCTTCACCCCTTTTCTTTTTCCCTTACCCAATTTGAACTGAACTTTGATAACTCAAAAGTCTGAAGTTGCCAACCTTTTCATTCCTTTAGAAAAGAAATTAACTTGAAAGCTGAGACAAGGGAGAAAAAGAGACCAAAAATCCATAGTATATTAACTATTTCCTTTACTCCACATTTACAGATAAGTCCTCTAAAGGTGGTGTAATTAATGGAATATCACCCGTTAGTTAACCCAAAAAAAGAACATAATCGAGAAGAAAAAAATTGGATTAATAATAAGGAGAAATAATTATGAGAATTACCCAAAAAAAACTCACTCAATGATCTGGAGAAAAGAAAACCCAAAATCACCCAGAAAATTTAACAAAAAAGGAGTCGAAAAAAAGTGAAGAATATATTAATAATTAATTACTTTTAAAAAAAGAAAGAAAAAAAAAAAAAAAGCTTTGCAGCCCTATATATATATATATATATATATATATATTATATACCCTTTAATTAATTTTTGGTTTAGGGACACCTCCCATTTCTTCCAGGTCCTCCGTAGTAAAAATAATTGCCCCAGACTCTGTTGATCCCTCCTTGAATGTCGTAGCAGTTTGGATGGTCAGCTAAAACCCTTAGATTTGATAATGGGATTAAGTTATTATCCCAATCAACAACCTGCAGGTTCCTAAAATAAGAAGCTTTTCCAAACCCTTCGCCGGCGAAATGGCCGCTTCCCATTTGTGTGGATGTATGCGAACCAGACGGCCTGGAGTTGACCACTTCTCCACCAAACTGTACCATGCTTGCATGATCTCTCAAGTGGGTAAACAAAAATGATGGCCAGTACCCGACTAGAACACCCGACCCGAATTCTAGCCACCAATTTCCATGCTTCGGATCCTGCATTACCCATTAACCTTTCACATCAAATTTCAAATAAAAGGAACATTTTCAAACTCTTTACTCGTGTTAATAAAAGATGACACACATACCATAACAACTTTAAAAAAATAAAAATAAAAAACACACACACACACACAATCCACAATTTAAATCCAGATTTTTATAAAAAAAAAGTGTATAGTTAATGTATATAACAAAGTAATATGTAAAAAGAAGAAAAAGCTTGGAGGGTTTTAAAAGATTTAAAAAACAAAAACAAAAAGAAGAAAGAAAGAAAAAAGCAATCTTGGTTTGCAGAAATGTCATGGAGTAAAAAAAGTGCAATGGTTGTTGAAGTATAAGGTGACAAAGTTCATGAAAATAATGAAAAATAAAAGAGTGAGTGGTCACTACTCAATTGGAAATTTTTCTCTTTCCTTTTTTTTCTTTTTTTATTTTTCATTTTTTATTTTTTATTTTAAAAAAAAAAAGAGAATCTCAAAAGCACAAAAGCGCGCGTATAGGAAATTACACATTGTTTAGATGTAGCAGTGCACGCGAGCATGTATCATGTATATTGTATTCTAATATCTCTATTCGTATATCATCATCATTAAAGTTATTGATAATTACTTATTAGCCATTCTTCTCTGTACCCATTTTAGGTGCAGCCAATCTAATCATAATATGCCAGGTGTACGGAGGATCAACTTTGACCATCACCATTGCTTTGACTTTTCCAACTTGGATAAAAAGTATTTAGATCGGATGGTCAGGAGTCCACGTGTACACACATGAGTGGGTAAACATCTCTTCCCAATGACCCACCCTTAACCTTCACTAAATAACCGTAAAAACTGCCAATTCAGTAGTTTCTTTTTTCTGACTTATCTTAATTACTTCCATTTGGTTTAATCCACAATATATATTTATATATATAGATATATATGTTTACCTTCCAAATCAATAAGCTGATATCAAATTGGCCGCCATTATAGGATGAGGTTGGAGAAATTGCAGCTCCGATTACAATTCTATTATTAGTCTGAACAAAACCGGAGCACAGCAGATTGTAGCAGCCAGTAGCTTGATACGCGTCACTCTGCAACAATAATCATGAAAACTCATCATTCCTTATTATATTTTCTTATGCTTCAAGCGAGGAATTCAATTCATGGATAACAAATGAATATATATATATATATATATATGCATAAAATTATATATAATATACTCACCGTCCAATAAGTAAAGAACCTAGGATAGCTATCCCCGTACAACTCTGGGCTTACCTGCGGACAATTAAATGAAAATATTTAGCTTCCATGGCTACAAAAATACAATGAAAATAGCAAGAGAATTTAACAGTGTTTGATTTAATTTGAATTTTTGTATTCTGAAAATGAAAAAAATTGATATGAGGAGAGACATAGAGATGAGATATAATGACAGACTTGCCTGCCAACCAGCTTCAATGGTGTTAAGATCATTACCAAAAGAACCAGAGATGATCCACATTTGTGATAAGCTAAATTCATTTTGATTTGAAACTCGGGGTGCCCACACGTTTATGCTCGCCTTTGCTCCAAAATATTGCTCTCCACTCACGTATCCAACAGCGTGCTGCAACCCATAAACAATTACCAATCGTCAAACTCACTGGGATTAACACACACATATATATTGTTTAAACCATGGAAGTCTTTAATCACTACAACTAGAAAATGGTTATGTAAATGAAACCCAACTACTAAATTTCAAAAAGAGAACTGAGAACACCAGAAAACTCCCAGTTTGGTGTTTTTGATTTTTTCAAATTGCAGACTGAATTTTCTTTTTTCTTTTTTCTTTTTTTTTAAATATAAGAGAGATTTGAAAGAAAAAGGAACATAAAAGAAGAAGCAAATTATGTCTCTTTAGGTCCATCCAAGAAGAAAGCAGTGCTTTTGTATCTCAACTCCTTCGCTCATTCTTTTATGTGCTAAACAAGCTGGTCATCTTTTGAAAAAGGGGACTCCAAGAAAGAGAAACAACTACCATGCCTCCTCTGCCATTTTCTTTGACCACTTTCCTTCACTATTTTGAAGAATTGAAAACAAAAAATAAAAAGAAAAAATAAATCTAATTTACCCAGTAGTTTACTGTTAATTTTTGTTTTTTTTTCTGGTGGGTATTTGTATATACGTACTTCATGATCATTGCCACTTGAATCTCTTCTAACACGTCTTATTTTCCTTCCAAATCGTCGAAGAGAACTTGCCCTTAACATGTCCTCTTCATTTGTTCTCCTGATTGGAATTGTCCCCCCGGGACATGTTTCCCCTGACAAACTCCATAACTGGAATGTTTCAGACATCGAACCTGTTGGGTTACGGCCTCCTGGTCTCTCTGGTAGATCCTGCAATTTTAACATGATAAATTCAATTTGGTCAAATCCAATGTATGAGCAGAAAGAGATTTAAAGCACAGTAAAATTAGGGAAAAAAAAAAAAAAAAAAAAACAGAGCAAAATTCACTCACCAAGGGTTTCTGTCCTCTCAAAAGAGGATGATCGAAAGCTGGTTGATGATGAGATAAAACACAATCGATTATATCACCATCCGGACTCTGCATCCCATAAACACACCGAAAAAGGAAAAGAAGGAGAAAACAACACAAACATGTGAGTCTCAAAAGACAGATGGAAAAAGGAATGTGAGATTATGATAAGAAAGCAGAGATGAAGATGAAGGGAATTGCCTGAATTGTCTTGACAGCAGGCTTGTTGATCCTGCTGAGGTGTTGTCTTATTCTTTTCAACTTCTGCAACTCTTTCTCCGGCCGGAAAGTTTGATTGGTTGCATGTGAATTGTTTGTTTCCAAGGAATAGACGGGAGAAAATGAAGAAGCAACAAGAAGAAAGAATACAAAAAGAGGAATGAGGGGGAAGATCTTAGACCAGCTAGACGCCATATTTGAGGAATTTTCTTTTGATGTTTCTCCGACTAAATCTGTATGCAATTGTCGTATACATTGGTTCTGTCTTGTTGTGTGATGAAAAAAATAAGACTGTTTATTCCTCGTTCTTGCCCATTGAAACACATCTCCCATCAAATCCACCCAGCATATAATCACCATTCTAAGGAACCCAGTTCCACTCTCACCATTTCCAAAGCTATTCAATTCAAACCCCCCAAAATAAGAATAAGAATACACACAAAAAAAAGAAAAAAATGAGAAGAAGAAGAAGAAGAACAATCTCTCAACTTTCAGTCTCTCTCTCTCTCTGTTTCTAATTCTACTGCCTCAGTTTCTAATACCTTGTTGGTTTTTATGTTCTGACAAGCAGAGGTTCCCAGGCATGAGGTGATTAAAGAAAACAGAGAAACTGGTTGGATTTTCTTAAAGTTTTGCCCATGTGGTAATGGTGATATAAATACTGGGTAGTGATGAAATCATGCTGCTATTTTAAAATTTTTTTGAAGAGAAAAATAAAAAAATAGAGGTGAGAGAAGAAGAGAGTGTTTCCAGTCTCCAATACAAGGACTGAAACTTTAGCTTTATTGGTGTGAAGATTATAGGGCAAAATGGTACAGTTCTGTTATTCTTTACTTTGGTTGTATGAGGACAGATTGGAATTACACTCCATTCTGGATTTCCAAAGTTCCTTGCTTTGCCCTCTTCTCTTTCTCACTTCCCTAGATGTTCTCTGTGTCAGCTCATTTTTATTTTTTATTTCCCTTCAAAAATTATTTTTCCTTTTCTCATAAAAATTATATAAAATCAATTATCTGGTGTACCCATCACCAGAGTAATTACGCAAGGTATGAATTCAGAGCTGTTCGATTTTTGAGACAGTCAAACGCGAACAAGAAATCAACGTTATCACTGGTCTTAATTTGCGACAAGGAGTTGTCATGAAACTACTGCATCTTTTCTACGCTGTCGTATTCCACAAGTGAAGGTGAAGCAATTTTTTCTTTTTTTTTTTTTTTTTTTGTCGTGTAGGATTAATAATGTGTTGGTACAGGTGCACCTCCAGCTGCATGCTTATACATGCATATGCATATTCATTAAGCATAATATTTTGGGTGGCTCAATTTTGATTTTTCTAGCTAACCTTTTAATCCTCCGTTACCACTAAACACGTCTATTAATATCATTAACAGCTATTGGTTTAATGTTTCGTTATCAATATTTAAATAAGATTCGAGTTAATTCGTAAATTTTATTTCCAAATTTTGAATATTTACTCGATTAAATTATTTTATTTCATTAAGTTTCCTTTTGGATTAATATATATTTTCTTAAATAAATAACATATTTTTTAAGAGTTGAATGGACATAAGAAAATAATTATAGTTTGAATTAATTATTTCAAAATGAAAGGGTAAGATAGTAATCTCCCTCATTTTATTCGTTAAAAAAACCATGGATATCAGATATCCTTTCAATTGCCTCTTACGTTTCTTCATTTTTCTTTAAAAAAAAAAAACCTACCTCTTGTGTTGTAATAAAATATGATGCTTAATTCTTAGATTAATATATTAATTATGTCTCCATTTCCAAAATATATATACATATATATACTAATTATGTCTCACATACTTATAGAATCTCTAATACTAAAGAAATATATTTTCTAGAATATTGCACCCTTTTATAAATTTTGACAATTATAGTTACATATAAATTTTATGATTAACAAAGTTTATATTATTTTAATTTAAAAATACGAATTTATTTTAATTATATTTTCCTGAACATACTATATAATTTCCTTTTTAGATTATTTTGTTATCATTAATATAAAAACATACCATAATCTCTCAAAGTTGCCAATTAATTACACAATTTTTAACACGAGAAAATATATAAAAATAAGACTGTTAAATCGTAATTATGATGTCATGGTCAGAGATAAGTGACATCACTTCACACCAGGAGCTTCTCCAGTCCACTTGTCCAGTCTCTACCATCATATTCAGGAAAGTATTTATATTCACTTCTTCTTCTGGATAGAAAATGTACAAATGAAAAATAGATATATGGATTTTGTGTTTGTAAATAATTAAAAAAAGGATAACATCGTACATTTTTTTTAATTTAATTTAAATAATTTATTATCGAAGCTGATTATTTTATAATTTATAATAATCCAATTAGATTTTATACGGTATATATAAAAATTATTTAATTAAAAAAAGTGGGACTAAAGTATCCATAAGGTTGCCCATAATGATGCCTGCATCTTATCACTTAATTTTATTTTAATTTAATTTAAATCATAAAGTAATTTAAACTTTCTATTATTACATTTACACCCCTGATAAATATCTTTTGTCGTTTCCGACCCCTACCCCTCGGTATTTCCTTAAAAAGTACCATTAAAAAAAACTAGCAACATTTCTTTTCTTAATTAAAAATTTTGTACTTTTAATGTAGACTATTTGTTGCTAATATAAGGCATTAATGCATGGATGATATTAATTAATATAATTAAATTTTGTGGTCCTGAGGGATACCCAATAATATAATAGTATATGCATGCGATGGATGAAAATTATTCTGTAATAATAATTAATAATCCGATAGAAATATAAATTTAGTATAAAATTATTAAATCAGAATTGAAGAGAAATATTTAAATTGAGCAAATGCAATAAATGTGTTAATTAAGGAAGGTAGTTGAGAGAAGTGAGCAATTGAAAGCATTAACTATCGTACTTTAAGGTCTAATCCTTGAAATCTAAACATAAAATTTTTAAGCATTATATTTAATAAGATCCAATCTGAATTTATAATTTTTACTGATAAAAAAATTATAAATTATCTCATAAAAATGATTGATAAGTATGAAATAATATAGATATATATTCAATTAATTAGTATTTTCTTTTTTTTTAAAAAAAAAGGATGTATTGAGACTAATGAAAAACAAAAAGAAATTAAATATGGTTTTATTATTGCTGATTATTAAATTTTTAAATAATTTTGTACTAAAAATAAATGTGAGAAGAATTTAATCATATGTGTATGTAGATGTGTAATAGACTCAAATTAAAAGTATTACGCGTAGGGAAACTCAACTACCAGCCTTCAATGAGGTCTGTAACAAGCAAAATACGGCACGAATAATTGTATAAAATGAATTTTGCTAATTATATAAAATGTCTAAATTCATTTGCTATTTGAAGCTCTAATTATTTAATTTTACAAAATAATCCCTAATGCATTACATACATACATACATATATATATATAAACATCATTTAGCCTATATTTACTTATTATTACTTTTTTTTTTTTTTTTTTACTCCACATAACTAGTATCTCTATTTCCAACATGAAAATTATAATGATAAACTGTATATCTTAAGTCAATTAATTAATTAATTAGGTCTCAAAAAATTAATTAACCATCTTAAACAAGTGCAGGCAGTTTTAATTGTCATAGCTAATGAATTAATTGATTAAAAAATAATAATAATAATAATAATAATAAAGTGAGAGACATTTCCTTTGCGGTAATTAAATATTTTATTTAATCAATTAGTTGATAGGGTAAAGGGAAATGTTGAGGTTGGAGTTGGAGGAGGATTCCCCTTTTTGGGGTTGGAAGAAATTACCATTCATGGAATGAATCTTCGTTAATGAATTCAGTGTTTCACTTTTCATCTCATCGACATATCAAATTCTTATATTCCACTACAAATGTCTTTAAAACATAATTAATTAATCGTCTACTAATCAACCCATTACATATATATATATATATATATATATATATATATACTTTAATTCTTAATCCTAAGACATATGAAATTATAGAATTGGATGACTGACTACCAGAGTTAATTAAGTGAAAATTATAGTTATTTCTGTATGTTTGTTTTAAATTAGTTTTGTGATTGGAATGTGACCTAACAAAAGCTGAACTTATCAACTACAGTAATGGTCTCTAATTATGTTAAATTATGTGTGTGTGTTTGTTCACATAATATTGGTTCATAAATGTGTATATATATATAGAAGTAAATTACTGGGTGTGGTATTGAAATGCAATGATGGTGTCCCCAAATTTGATAGGAATTTAGAAAGTGGGGTTTTGTTGCACAATATGTAAGTTGGACACTCGAGAAGTGTGCCTTTTTGACTTGCAAAAATGCACATTTGGGTTGCATTGACTCTAAGAAGATGATTTGAATGTCACTTCACCAGGATTTATTTGTGCTGGTAACTATCACTATTTCATTTTACTATTTGGTCACCCCCATACATAAAGATGTGTATATATATATATATTATTCTTAATTACCAGAGAAGAGAAATGTCCATGGCTGCTTCCTTCTTTTTCTGTCGGCATCAACATGTGAGACATGTACACATACATATATTATATGGTTTGATGCTCATGGACCTAAAATCTGAATGGTGGGATCCAAATTGACCAGCTACCCCACTTTTCATCCTCACTTTTACAACTTCAAACTGACCGACTTCTTTCATTTTTACTGCATGCCCTCCAATATAATTTAATTACTCTTAATTAAATCAAAGTATCAAACACATTCAGAGATTATATTGATAACTTAATTTTTTACATTTATATATATTTTATTTTAATTTTCTAGAAGTGCAAATTGTGATGAGTTGAGATAAGAAGCAAAGTTTAGCTTTTTAGGGTACAAACATAAAATAATTCCAATTAAGAAACCTAGTACTGAGGTAAGCAGATTCTGGAAGAGAGTAATTAATTAGTGGGTTGTGAATTAAGGTGGGTAATGATGAGATTAGTTTTGAAATCCATGATTTTGTTTAGGAGCAGCTTCTGATTTTAGTCAGACGAGATCATGCCTTCAAACCCTACACGCAACTCCACACGTTTAATATATATACTTATTAACATAAATCTATAAACATCCTCCTTACTAATTAGCTAGGAATAAAGTATTATGTCATGCCATTTAAATGAATGACGTAACAACACATTAAGATATATTACACATTGTTAATTATGTATTATCGTTACTTATGGCGTATGTATATATATGTATGTATATGTATGTACAGTTCATCAAATATATATTAAGAAATATTAATTATAATATGTGATGTGGCTCAACATATTATATTCCGTGTAGTTGATCAAGTTGGCAAGAAAACCCAAGGAAAAAGTGTTGGGTGAATAGTGATTGTAAAATGGAAGAATGGGATCAAAGCATCTTTGGAATTGGAAGGGTAAGCAGTTAAAAAGTGGGAATAATAATAAAGGGGGAATGAATTATAAGACCCACATCAAAAGAAGAGAGAATAGAATCATGAGAGAAGAAAAGAAGGGTACTCCTAGTTTATCACTTCAAATCATATCATATTTTTATATATATATATATATATATACCTTTCTCCTCTATCTACACATTTACATACATACGCCATACATACACACACACACACATGTATATACATATGTATACACGTGTGTATGGTGTATGGATCATGTATACGGTTTGCTTTTTTCTCAAAGTGTGTGTTTGAATATTTAAATACAAAAGTCTCTTGAAAGGTGAAAAAGAAGGCTTTCTAGCATGGAACTGCGGTGTTAGAGCAATCATTTTGTCTAAGCTCTGCAGGCTCAGCTTTCCTAGTTTTAAGAGGCTTATACATATATATACAAACCAATAAAAAACTTTCATATGCTTGTTAAAAAGATTTTTGGCAAACAGACGCGCAATATTAATTAATTGCAGCAATTCATTTTAAAGCTTTATGTACACACACACACATATATATATATATATATCCATTATTATTATTATTATTATTTAATTTGGGCTCTAAAATTGTAAACCATGATTTAGGAGGGTGGCATTGTCTTCTTCTGTTTCTTTTTTCTTTTGGAGGGTGGCGTTGAGGGTTTGTGATGGTTGTAAGCATGCTGAATCGCATCATGTCATGATGGGTTTACATGGGCCAACCATACCATTTTACTGATGCATGATGATGATGATGATGTAGTGCAAACTAAGTACATATATAATTTGAAGGGGGCGAAATGTCCTTTTGCATTGCTTGGTATGGAGAAGACACATGATGATTAATCACATTCATATGTTCCAATTCCATCAATTTACATTAAGCTTCATCATACTCAAAAAACTTTTGATTATTATTTCCAACAGATGCCATTTGCCCCAAGACGGTCTTTAAAATTGTTTGTATTTTTTTTTTTTGTTTTTTTAATACCAAACGGACCATCCATGAGGCCCATTACAATCGGGCCTGGGCCTAACATCTTACCATTCATGAATTGGTGGCTTTTTATTCCCAATTTATAAAAAAATTATTATATTGTATTTTTAATATGACGTGAGTATCATAATTAAAAAAAAAATTAAATATTTCTTCTGCCAAAAAGAAAATAGTATTTGGAGTTGATTATGTTTTTAACGAATCCCTCTCTAAGGTCACCACTCGTGGTTCTCAAGTTGCGGACTCACCATTGATGATGGTCAAGCTTTTTATACATATTAAACAAACATAAGAACTTAATTAATTAAAAATTAATTACGTATTTGACAGCACTGTCATGTAATAAATCTATTAATAGTGTTGATAGTATTTAACAGACATTGTACTAATACAAATATTTTTTTTTTTGAAGTAAATAAATTTAAATATTTAAAAATAATAAAAACATTAATATAATATTTATGATTAACCAAATTAATTAAGAGCTACAATCGGAAAATTATTATTAGGTTAAAATGATTTAAGTTAGTGTAGAATGGTCAAAGAACTAAAACTTTATTAATTTTAAATTGTATATTACGTGATTTTAAATTAAAAATTGTAAAAAAAAAAAAATGTAAAGTAAAATTTGTAAATGTTTTAAAATAAAATTTTAATTTATAAAACTAAACATCAAACGCATGCCTTTATGAAATATAGAAAGCCAATATTTTCAAATTAATTGCTTACCCATCCACAATTAATATATGAACAACCTTCTCAAAAGGTAGAAAATGACAAAAAAAAAAAACAAGATGCTGCCGCTTGTTTTGAATTTGCTGAGATGGAGGAACCCATTAACTTCCAACATGTTAATATATAAATAGTTTTTGCATCCTTTTTCTCTCTTAAAAATGCATAATTATTAAATTATTTCTATTCAAATTTTAGAGTCATAATTTATGGAATTTAAATTTAAAGTAAGTTCAGCTTGGTTTCTTCCTATCTAATTTACAAATTTTGTTCACCTGTGAATTAAATTAGACGAATGATTGCTCTCCGAAGTAATTGGTGATCTCATGCAAAATCTTGTGTCCCTCTCTTTTCTTTTCAAGGGGGATTTTTCTTGGTTTATTTTCAGCAAAAGTTTAAGTGGTGGGGGGTCCTTTGTTTTTTTTTTCTCTAATGGATTTCTTATGTCGTACAAATTTTCTTAATTCCTTCGATACAAGTTAATTATACTTGAGAGATTATTCATGGGTACGAGATCTTTTTCGCATTATTTTCTGCAGCAAAGTGGAGGTGACGTGATCTAATTTGTAAAGGATTTATTTATATCTGCCATGGCATCAAAAATTCAAATCAAAATAAACTAAAAGAATCATTCAGAGTGGGAGCAGTAAACATGAAGTATCTTGTCAATTGCCACATGGCTTTCTCTTTTAAGGGAAAAGAAAGATGTTAGTGGACAAAACTTGACTGAATAATTGAAAAAGTATTATAACTTGGAAAGAAAAGACATGACTTTTAGGAGACTAAGTTGGCTATATAGGCCAGAGCAGAGGCTCTTGCTTCTTCAATAAATCTTTAGTGATCTATAGCAAGTGTAAGAAAATGAAGAGCTCGGTTTTCTTTCTGTTTGTAATAATAACGGCAATATCATATTCAGTGAGATTGGGTGACGCAGTAGCTGAACCGCCAGAATACACTCTACTACAATCAGAACCAGACTTTGAGGTCAGACTCTACAAAGAATCCTGGTGGATGACTGCTCTTGTGCAAGGAACTTCCTTTGAGAAGTCGACCAAAGATGGCTTTCACAGGTATGACCTGCTTTTTCTCCTTACACCCATGTTTGGTTGCTGAGGAAATTAAAATTATATATTAATTCCATGACAGTGGAACAAACTATACCATCTATCTGCAGGTTGTATCAATATATCCATGGAGACAACCTCAACTCTACTGGACTTCCAATGACAGCTCCAGCGTTAAGCAATCATCACACTGGTTTGAATATTTGGTAAGGTATTATGTGCCTGCCAAGTATGGGAATGTCCCTCCTCAGCCGTCTCCAGAACTGAATTTGCAGTTGAGACATGGAAGAAACAGTGTGTGGCAGTAAGGAAGTTTACAGGGTTTGCCAAGGACGATAATGTAGATCAACAAGTAAAAGCTCTTGCTTTGAGTATAGGAAGACACGCACACTTCAGTGAAAAGGAAAAAGGAGTTCAAAATGGGAGCACCACAACGCTTTACTCTATTGCGCAGTACACTTCACCACATCGCCTTACTGGGCGTTTGAATGAAGTCTGGATCAATGTTGCAGCTGGCTTTACCGAACAAGGGTGCCCCGGCGCTCTGGGTAACAAATAATGATTTGCTTTATGTTTAGTTACAAAATACCTTGTGGAAATAATATGCCCCATCTTTACATGATATGGGGAGCTGTATAAACTTAAGCATTCATATGTTCCACGTAAAAATCTACTTGGAGAAATTTGAGAGAGATTCACTTGGCATGGGAACCTGTATAATAAGCTCAAATGAATGCCTGAGTCCCGTAAGAGCACCTAATAAATCAATGCATTATTTATGAGATTAATACAGGCGCCTTTAAAGAATATACAACAGTGTTATGTTGGCTCACTGGACAGCCAAATAAACTGTTCTATACAGTCTGACGCCCTGGATAAATTACATGAAAAGCTTCCACTTACATCTATAACTTTCTTCTACTTTGTATTATATTTTCCTTTTTTTTTCCTTATTTAGTTTTCTTTCTTTCCCAATCTGCTTTCTTTTTTACTGTCTCCTACTTGTAATATCTCTGCCATCAGCAACTGCCACAAGGAAAAGTGCAAACTGGAAAATTTGAAGATCACATTTGAGGTCTTGTCTGGACAACATAAATTTTCCCATCTCTGACTACACCTTCAATGTCTTGTGGAGATCCATACAACTTCTCAATTTCACTTCCTGCACGAGCAATGCTGGAGAGAATTGATTGCTGGAAGTTTCCATCAGTGATCAAAGGGTCAGATGAATAATCAAGCACGACTTTCTCTTCCTCATCCATCGGGACACTGCAGAGGGTACAGAGTTATATCAGTTATGAAGCAGGGAGACAAAACGCAAAAATAGAAGCTTTCTTCTTACTTCTGTAGCCATGACCTTGACATGTGCATGCACCACCAATAGGCACACTATAGGACGATACCATATGCCATTTTAATGGCATGAACTGGATCGGTTCAGTTTATTTATAGTAATTGATTTTTGATACTTGTTTTTAATGAATTTAATGATAGAAAGAAAACTACTCAAGTAACTAACTTTCCAGGTCAACCTTAACTGCAGTTTGAGTTTATAGAACACACCACTAAACAGTTCAAGAAACTACAGGAGAAAATAATTGGATTTCAAAAGATCTAGATGTTTACACTACTTCAGGTTGGGTAAGTTGGATTTCAAAGAAATTCAAGTTGCTGACTTCAACCAGTCCCAGATTAAAGCTTATTGGAAATGAGTTAAGACTTGAAAGCAACACAAAAGCAATGAAGTGAGCTAGGAATGTCTACAACCAAGCTTAGAAAGTATTATTTCACGAGAGCTCGAATCAGGTCACTGCATAACCAAGGATCCTGTGGTCAGCCTGGATGAGAAGATACTGATGTGTCTAAAAGATAAGAGAAAGAGAAAGCTAGTGTTGGGGATTGAGAGGTTTAGAAGAACACACAGGGTGAGAAGGGAGAAAATACAGCATTGAAGAAATCCTCAAGAGGTATATCACTCCGGATAAATTCTGATTACAACTGATCCAGATATTTATGTTGACTTCTGTTACAATTTTCCTAACCAAACTTCTATTAGTTAGTTATTATTCTATCTACTTTCCTATTTTTATACAACATTTTCCTATTTTCCATTTTTTCATACAACAGATACATGGAAGAATGACTATGAGAAATTTTAATAATAAAAATCGAGGCAGTTTACGATCCTAGAAGCAATTCTAGTGATGGATAGAAAGAAAGAACTGATAAATGAGACAGCTGAAACTACAAGAAGGAAACAAATGGCAAGACCTAGTGAAAACCCCAGATTGGCTTATGCCAATGAAGTACCAAAATTAAAGAATAGGCAAGAATGACTGCTTCCATGAAATAGATGTTTTTATCAGCAAAAAGTTGAGATATATAAACTCAAAAAGAGCAGGACTTTACCTATCATAAAGGCCTGCACCAGCATACCCTTCAAGATCTTCACCATTAGAGTCAGAGCGAAAGATTATGGAACGTCTTATGAAGAGACCAATGGGTTTGCTTGGGTAACCTAGCAACTGTGAAGTGCACAACTACATTAGACCAAATGGCAACAAACCAGTGGCCTGGTGTGTTTCCTTCATTAATGTAAAACCAAAAGGACTACTGTGTTGGTCCACAGATGTGAAGAAAAACCAGTAGGCATGTACAAAGTATTAGAAGTAAGCATTGTCCTTTATATCCATATCAAATTGTACCTCCTACACAATCAAGATGAACATGTTACCTGCGGTGAATTCAGGTTGCTCTTCTTACAGATAAAACTCAATGCACGGCCTGGATAGGCTCCAACTAGAGTCTCTCCAAGTCCCTTCACCACCTAAACCAGAAAAGGAAGATGCCAAATTGATGCTTGTTACTTACAGCTGGAGAAATGACTAGGTACCAGAAGGAAAAAATAGCGATATAATAAATCAGAACTTGCCTCAACGTATATCTCTGATGAATCCCCTGAAGATGGGTTAGTTGTGTGGATAACAAATGCATAATCAGCATTTATTATTTCCTGAACAAGGACAGCCATACAGAGGTAATCATGATCCAATTTCACTTTCTTTGTACTGAAGTATGCTCTTTCATTCCATTTTGAAGCCCAAACCTAGAAATTACAGAGCCAATTAATGCCATGAATAGAGAAACTAAAAAGTCTGCAATCGAAAAGTACCAAACTTAAAATTTAAATTTGGGACAACATGAATGAAATATCATAAGGTAAATTTAACATGGCAAGTATTCAGAGATCAAGTATCTATGCCAATTAGAATATCATGCAGTTCCTACCTTCTTTATAGCCATCCATGCTTGCTCCCATCGCTTTTCACCTTCATCACCTGGCCAAGGCATGCCAGAACTTTGCATCTTGGTTTTCAGTTCTTGCACCTGAAGATAAAACCTTGAGAAGCTATCATTTCTAAGTTTTATGCCAAAAAACTTGGCAATCCCGAGATAAGCTTTCCACTAACTATCAATTTCCTTGACAAAACATAGTTACGAGGAAAATTAAGGTTAAAATTTCTTGGATAAAATCTCCTTCACATGGGAGATCCAAGTAATCGATAGCTTTACCTCCAGTCCTTCAGTAACCAAGGGTTTACGATACAACTAAACCACAAATCTCAAGCCAAAAGCCATTAACCAACTCACCTTAACTGAGTTGGTAGTCTTCTCCTCTTTTTACCAAGAGGGTGAGGCTTCAACAGTTATGAAGTCTCATAGAACCAGCAAGGAAAAAGAAACTAGATCTGTTAGGCTAAAGTGAGTACCATAACTGGTTATAAGGGAGAAGGAAGCAAGATATTGATCAGGACAGCTGTTGACAATTATGTGTATGTGTGCGAGGTTGTGTTTGTGATTGTTTCTACATTTCAGGACCTATTAAATGAGCACACAGCCCTAGGTAAGACAAGACGATGAAATATGCGTTTTGGGTTTGGGGGGAAGGTGGGATAAGATAAAGAAGCATGATCTGAAATCCTAGAATGAGCGTACCAGTTCGGGCAGTGCTACCAACTGCAGCACTGTTTGGCGAATCTCCGCAAGAGCACTATATTGTCCTTCTCCCAATTTTTTCTTCAGTATTTGCAACTTATCAGCCACTGCCTGCAGGTTGAAGGCAAAAACTCAAAGAGAGATACAGTGGCGAAGGTGTGTGTAAAGTCTGACAATAATATTTCACAGATAAAAGCAGTATACGGAGTTCTGATAAATCAGATGCTAATGATGATACATCATGAATTCTATTTTCAAACGTGTTTTTTTTCTTTATTTTTTCTGAAGTTCTTTCTTTTTCTTTGAAACTTTGGGAATAGTAAACAAAAATCTTTAACCCTGTTCCATGCCAGGCTATGAAATGTAAAACAATTCATATCACATTAATGCCACAGTTGAAATGACTAGTTAAAGTTGATTCAATTGAGATACAACCTAAGAAGTTTGATTTCCATTTAAATGCTAAGCATCTGTGATAAATTCTTGCTATTGAAGTACGAGTTCCTTCTAAAGGAAATCATGTGAAGTTTCTCTTGCAAAGTGCATAAGGAATTCATTGGAATAAATAGGGAGTTAAAAAGACAATAACAACCTGATTTGACTTATCAGAGAGGACCTTCTCAAATACTCCAAATGGCAGAGCAACAGAGGTAGGAATTCCAATCCATGAAGGCAGTTTCCCTTTCAGATAAGCGATATTCCGTGATTTAGCACCAACCTAGGATAACAATGCATGGACATATTATACATTCCGTTTTCCAACAGAATGATTAAAAAAGTTTAATTTCTTCTTAATCATCTAACACCAAAATGATTGAACTAGAGAGTAGAAAATAAAATAAAAATGTACTTTCTACATATATAAAGAATAATTTTATGCCTACCATTTCGCTTGTGAACTCCTCGGATGATATGGCGTATCTACCACCAAACTGCTTTCTGACCAATGTAATAGATGATGAAATGACATCTTTCAAGTTACTTGAACTTGAATCTGCTAGCTCATCCTCATTTACCTCCCTGAGATAAAGCCCAAAAGATAGAAGAAATCAAAACAATTTATTTCACTCTATGCAAACTTTTGTAGATAGAGAAAGATCTTGTATATGTAGAATTTTACAAACCCATATAGAGCTACAATCTTTCAAAACGGGAAACAAATAGAAATACCTATAGACTATATCTGCTGAAGTAGGTTTTAGTCTCAACAGTTTCCCCTCATTTGCCTGGAGATCTGACAGAATGTTGGGATCAAAGCATGTAGCAAAGCAGACCTGCAAGAAACAGATGCCACCACAATGAACAATAAACCTTGGACATTCAAAACACAGAATGCAGTAAGTGATTACCTTGCAATTTCTGGCACGCACAGAGACGTGAGAGAGGACATCTGGCATGTCAGGTGTCAGCACGGCAACTGCACCATCAGGAATTTCCTCTTCTCCTTTTACACTTCTTACTACTAATATTGTTGGTCGGTCGTAAGACTCATTCTGTACAGAAAGCAACTCATCCACAACACAGACATATCCTACAACCTCGACTGGACTGATAACCTGCCAACTGCTCCAAACAAGGTAAAGTTGCTTTAGAAGGTTTTATATCTAACCTAATGATGTTTCTAGACAGACAATTTTCTTTTTTATCGGTGGTTCAGAAAAATTAGCCTAAAATTGGATTGGCCTTTCTTATCATCTACTAATAAACCATTTAACTAACTGATTCAGGAAAAGACAGTTGATTATCAGTGATAAAGTGCCAACCTTCCCAAATGCGCAGTTTTTCTAAGAACAGGATCAAGTCGATTAAGGAGTGAGGATAAAGCTGCGGCTGATCCAGCACGAATGATTTCTTCTGTGAATATATTAAGCTGCAACAAATGATAACAAAGAAAGAATAATGAGACATGCTCCTCTGCTCAACTGAAGGTGGAAAAAAAGGTCTCTAGACATGATTTGAAAGGAACTTTTGTGTTTAAAAGAACTAGAGTAGTAAAAGCGTACAGCCCACTGATCCACATTGAGAAGTGATCCAAGATAGTCTGCTGATGGTTGTAAAACTTGCTGGTACCACTCAGCCTTAGTAGCAAGTGCAAGACGAGTTCTGTCAAGAACTGATTTCGCATATAAAGCCCAGTGACCATTTTTACCCTTGAACATGTTTAGGGCATGATTCCATCCCTAGAAGAGTAAGAAAATTAACATCATTAAAAAATTACGTTAATAAACGAGCATAAGTCTATGAGAGACAAGCAAAGTACGCTTTCCTATTCCGCTAGTTATTTTTCCTTAGTGAATGAACTTATAAAGGCTTAACATAAAATAAATTTAATTTTCCTTTTCTGAGCAAAGTTGGTAACATTTGGAAAGAAGTTCAACGAAGAATATATCAAATGTCATGTCAAGCCAATGGAGGATACTTCAGGTTAAAAATTCTTTTTTTAAAAGGTTGAAATAACAAAAGCTTGAATTGATTTAGGGAAAATATAACGAAACAGAATTATAGTATAGGAGTTTTGTCATGGCTAACTTGGGAATTCTTCAAGCAATCAGAACTTTTGCCATAAAATATTTGCTTGTTAGAAATATAGTCAGACTACTGCTCTATAGTTTAAAGCTCTAAACAATAGCCACAGAAAAGAAGAATATAGTGTAATTGATCCCCAACAGAGGCTCTGACATAGATCAGCCTCAGTATGAATAAATCCGTCAAGTCATGCCCTTAAGAAAATTGAATTTAACAAGAGAAATTCACCTTCAAGCAATAAATGAGATCCTCGTTGTCATCTGATGAAAGTGCAAGATTTTCAAGAACCAGTGTGATGAAATATATAAGTTTCTGCAACAACAGAATTTTCAATCAAAAAATTTATATACTAGATAATGAAAATAGAATCATTCATATATCATATAGAAATCTTGGAAAGAAATATTTTGTATATGGTTGTTTTCGTGCGAATAACTAAATCTACCTCTGGTCCAGTGGTATTCAGTTCCCCGTATCCTCTTTCAATTGCTATTCTAACAGTAGAATCAAGAGCAATGTCCAAAAATAACAGATCCTTCAAACGATCATGGAACTTTAATAGCAATGGCCGGAGCTCTTGACGAGCTTCAAGCAAACCCTGCATTCAAGATTTCAAGGATGAATAACTTTTTGATGTAACAAACAAAATAGAAGTAGAAAACATGTAATGTCCAACGGAGTTGCTCTATTCCCATCATAGGCCTATGTTACAGTCCTTGCTGACAAATCATGTTATAAGCCGATTTACAATGAAATCAGTAGGTAGAATTTCTTTTTTCTTTGATTTCCTATCTTTTCCTATCTTTTTTCTTTGAAGTCTTGTGGACAGAGAGAATCCTACAATCTCTAGAGTAAAACACACTCTTAATTCACATTAAAAATTCAGACATAGAATGTCTTCTTCTTCAAACAACAGATGATATATACAAGAGGAGCAGTTGATTCTGTAAATTTGAATTTCCAGAATTTCCTAAACTGCCTTTGTCTTATAACAGACTTATTTCCTACACTAATATGCAGTTAATACTCATAAATATTACATAATAAAAATTAAAAGTTATGTACTTAAATAAACAATTACACAGGATTCATTTAATTCTCCTCTGATAAATCTTCGACAAGAATTATTGGGTTCTCTAACACTCTACTTATTGACCCTCTTAAGCAAATGCTACTCATCACCAAGTAAATTCATCAATCATACTGTTGAAGTCAATTTACATTTGCTTTAATCCTCCGATTAACCTTAGATAAGAATTATTGGACTCTCTAACACCCTACTTATTAAAACCCTCTTAAGCAAATAGAACGTATCACCAAGTAAATCATTAACATATCATTGAAGTTCTTTACATGTGCTTTAATCCTCCTTTGATAAACCTCTGATAAGAATTATTGGGTTCTCTAATGCCTTACTTATTAACCCTCATACGAAAATGCTACTTATCACCAAGTAAATTCATTAATCAGACTGTAGAAGTTAATTTACATATGCTTATATCAAACAGAAAGGTCGCTGCAGGGGCTGGAATTCTGCTATTGGAGTAAAACATATGGAGCAAGCCAGAAAATACTTCCTTTTTCTCACACCTGCTGCAGGACGGCAATTGACATCCCCATGCTTGATGAGTGTAGGAATGTAAACCCATCCTCATCTTGCAAGGATGTTCTCTGCATCACTACTTGCTTCATTACCCACTCCATTTACCCACTCCATATATCAACCATGTACCTGTCTCTTACCCAGCAATGAAATCTCTCCCTACCATACCTGCTGCTCATTACCCACAACTTTGCCAATTTATTTGCCCCGGTTATCCATTTGCCACAAATTGCCATTCCGTAATATAACTAACCACTTCTAAACCCTTACCTCAAGCACACACAAATACTAGAGAAAGATGACGATACATATGTTGAGATCTTAATGAAAATAGCAGTTAAAATTTTTTAAACAAGATTTCTCACATACCTCAAGAAGCGGTTCAACATTTTTGTCTTCAACATGCTCAAGGACAAAGTGAAGCAACTCCTGTAATATATCAAGTCAAACATGTGCTTGGATTTCATAAATCTATTCAATACAATGGGCACATCAAATGGAAGGGGAAAAAAGAAAACTAAGGCAGAAATGTTACTGGAAACTCAGATGGCAGGCCTGAAATGGGATTTATCTGCACCCCGACCATGAAACCTTGACCCTGAAGGGATTTATTAAATTAATGAAATGCTAAGAATAAGCGAATTTACCAAACAACTTCTGTCAATATTTAACATTACCTCAGACCTGTAGCCCATACAATTTGAAATAGCAGATTCAAGATCTGCACCTGAATGAACAGCCTGCATATAAACCACAACCAGATAGAATTACCAGATGAAAGAACATGATTGATGAGAAAATTGATGGGAATAAAAAAGAAGTAAGTGAATGATAGAAGAAAACACTTGCACTCTTCATATTTTGAATCATAATCAGGATAAGTACATCTAGTCGTGATTATGACCATTGAGTTTATACTGAAGGAAAAATCGTTCACCTTTTTGTTCAGACATCTTTCGGTACACACTGATCACTAAAGGCATTATACTTTGATCATTGAATGAGAATGGTTATCTTCTAAAGGATGAAACTACATGAGTGAATGCGTAATTTGCAATTACTAGAAACGGAAGCTGTGTCTGGTAAATTAAAAGATTCTTAGCTTTCATTTCCTATGTACATGTATAGGTGTATATATATGCCTATAAATTTATCTACATATACATACATGAACTATTTTGTTTTCAGATTTTTTAGATGAACATGTTTGGAAAAAGAAACAATGCTACTTGAAGATGAAAAGAATTTTTTTAAAAAAATAGATGACCAAAAAGAATTGTTAGAAAATAAAAATGAAAATAGTGCATGAAATTGAAAATAAAAAATTCATTTTTTTCCTAAAAGATTGTATTTTGTTCCTTTTATGTACATATTATATATTTTTCTTCATATAAATATATAGAAACATGTGCATATATAATTCTGCGTATGTTATATATATATATATATACACACACCTTTTATATGTACACTTATTATGTATATTTGGACATGCATACACACACACATGCGCAGACATCCATATACGTACACAGTCACACATGTATATCTACACAATACATATATGTACAGAAATAATGTAAAAAATATTTTCATGAACTAAACGGAAACTGAGAATCTGAAGATTACAGGAAAAAGGAACATATAATGGAGGTTTAAGAAACCGACCTTTAGAGTTCTCATATAGTTACCAAGGTCCCGAAGAAGACCATCTTTTTGATCTCTCCTAAAATTTGGTTCAGAATGGATAGCACGGTCATAACTTAAAAGACGTTCCTTTGTTATGCCATTGTCATTCAAGGTCTTCCAGTAAACATTGACATCAAAGTCACTTTTAATATAATCAATTAATGCCTGCAAAAACATCATTAGTAAGCAACTTCAAATTTTGAGATTAGGAAAGAATTATGCTTAAATTGGGACCTATTGTTTCATTACCTGACAAATAATAACATCATCGGGACTAGTGTTATTATGTAATTTTTGATGCCACTCCTCCATTATTCCACCCTTGCAATCATTATTTCTCTGCAATCATTCAAGCAAAAATTCAAAATGCTATGATGTCAGCTTCAGAAGTACCATTGTGTTTTAAAAGAGAAACAGAGCATTTGATACCAACTTGTATAACTAGGATTTCATCACGAATTCGTTGTCCCACATCCCCTTCACCGCCTCGACCGACTGTAGACAATATCATTCGCAGAAGTTCCCAATACTGTGGATAACTTTTGTAGACATTCTGGAGTGAATCAGTAAGCCTATCCTGGGCTTTACTTATCTCACTGAACCAATAAGAAACTAGAATCAAATCTGGAATTCATAGAATAATACTGAATGGGCCTGATATTTGTAAAAGCAAAATGTCCCAATCAGCTGGATTCAGCAAAAATTTATTCTAAGCATTATATTTTGCATGCAATCGCACTGTAAATGAGTAAGATTTGAGTATATTGTTTGGTCATCATCCAATTTGGTCAAACTATAAACACAAATTTAACATGTTCAAAACAAAATGAGCACTTTTGTATCTATTAGTCAAAGTTGTACCGTGGTTTCACATTGTAATTTTTATTCCATATGAGCTGCCTTGTAGCCATAAACCTCATCCACACCAAGATCCCTGCAAGGCCTAACTCTCCAGCTTGTCTGGCTTCATCAACCAAGTCTGCTGCAATGTTAAACCTAAAAACAGACAGGAATTATGACTTGTTACCTCAAGAACTTTGAGGAACTGAAATATTATGAGACAACCAATGATAAGTTTGACAAAAGGTAAAAGTAGGCACAATAAGAGTTGATAAGTTGAGATTTAGCCAGCGCTAGACCATACATTGAGTTCCATAAAATTTTCAAGAGACTAAGATAAGAGATGTGCTCGGATAGGAAACACTAAGACTTTCAGATTTATCTTTTCCATTCAGCCTTCAATCATTAATCTGTTATCCCATGACAGCAAAAGCTTAAAATATCCTTATAATAAATAATATTTACTTTAGTTTAAATTTCCTGACTGTATAAAATTATCATGTTCAAGAGAAATCAAATTAGTCAGGAGAACGCTGAATTATCACAAGCAATCAAGACTACATCAAAACAATACAACTATCTTTTGGAAGTCTGACGTGCTTCAAGAACTTACCTAGTTAATGTTACTTTCCTAAGTTTACAAGAGCTGAA